AAGGCCCAGTATCACATCTTGCCCAGCACCAATTGATACAACACGATCTGCTGCGATTCCTGGGCATTTATTACATTTAAAACACGCTTCCCTAAAATGGACATCTGCAGACCCTCAGCTTTTACCCATTTTTGCCAAGGACTTCACATAAATTTCCAGTAACGCAGTGCTTGGAATTCCTTATAGATTCAAAACAGAGGTAAATGCCTTACTAACCACTAAGTATATAACAGCGCAATAAAAAATGAATACAGTGATGAATGTGATATTTTAAATCCAACAACAACAACCCACACTGCCATGATCCTGCTGACTGTATGCTACAACAAAGTCCCGAGATGCTGACTTTAAGAAAAAACAGACAAACCGCATTTATCATTCTCTTGGATTCCCACCAGCCCCCAGGATTACATGATAGACGTGTTTTCACTTGCTTGTGGAGACGAGATGTAGCTGTAATTCTTGCCCTGCCGGTAATCTTAGTTCTGTTTCATTGTCTACTTCATTTTCTCCCAGTTTTTCCATATGTATACACACTGATTAGAGTCTTGTCTTTTATCAATCACATTTAACGTATGTCCTACTTGTTTTCCTTCTCAAAAGGAGAGATTTTTAGTATGTATTCCTCATGAAATGCAGATTGCAGCAACCATGACACTTCATGTGTCCAGCACATCAACTGAACTGCCACTGCATCCCTCATAAAACACTATGATAACTGCTGAAGATATATTTAATATCGTAACCCACAAGAACTGCAAAAAGGAAAACCTGAGTTCAAATAATGCCACATGTCTAGTGAAATCACAGGAGGTCCTGTGAATCAAGCCCTGATCCCAGTGGGAGACCTTGTCCCAGAAGGAGATAAAAAACTCTGCAGACATGGCCAGGAGGGATGAGTGGAAGCCATAGGAAACTCCCATATTCAGTGCTCACTGCAGTTTTGGTTACATTGCAGTATCTATTTATGCTGCTTCTCAATGTGTTTTACATGCCGCTTATTCAAAGTTAGAACAGAAACACAGTATTTTAATAATGAATGTGAAAATTATTGCTTCTCATTAAAAAGCCAGCAACTTTAATCATACTGCAGGAATAACTGAACTATTTTACACTAACACCCCAGTAAAAAGCACATGCAGAATGAGAGATAACTAAAGTGTGTGACTTATTAGTCATCTTATCGCTTTTCAGAACTAAATTCAGATGTCACTGACATTTACATCCAACAAAACATGTTTGGTCATTTCACTGCAGCTGCTATGAGGTTCCTGTTCATGTCGCAAAATTGATTCTCTGCTGTTTTCTTTGCAGCCCTTTTTTTATATCTTCACTCTAAGACTCCTTTGCAGGAAGGCAAAGCATTAGCCATCCTGCCCGCTAGCAGAAGCACCACAATATATGACGGTACAGAAGGTTGCCAGAAAGCTCTATACCCAAATTATGTATTACCAAGAGTCCTACAGACCTTTCTGGAGCTCACACAGTAACCATGATAGGTAGCTTGCCTTAAAGTTTCTGATGTTGTATTGGTCTCTTGGCTCTTGGCAATAAAACACCTTCAGGAAAGAAAGTAAAATGGAAGATTAAGCTAGAGATTTATTTGGCAGTTTCCCCTTTACTGCCCAAGTCCAGCTCCCACTTAGGAGAAGCAGGGGAGAATTTTCCCCGATCATAACTCTTCTCTTCCATCTGTCCTTTCACCTGATGGCGCCTTTCTCAGATCAGGGTCATACTAGAATTTGCTTTATAGCTCTAGCTTGGCTCTCCTTGATTACAAGCAGGCATGAATGTTTGCCTTGGTTTCCCAACATTTGCCTGTGTTGGCATTGCACAAAATGTTGAAGCAGATTTACACAAATTATTTGCAGAGTCCACTGTTGACGGTCTAAGTTGCCTTAGGGAAAAACAAGGGCAGAAAAAGAGACAGGGAAAAAAATAGGCAGCTGGGGGACTCTCCTCTGCGATGGGATCCCCAAACATCCTTCTCCAGGTCCTCTCTGCAGCGCAGCTGGAGGTGACAAGAGAGAAGATGAAGGTTGTAATTTTTACCAGACTTCCCTACCTGCTACAGGCATTTCATCACGGACTCCCAGGGCGTTGTTCCCACCCGGGAGGGCAATAGCACTGGCCAGAGCACGGCTGGACAACAACGCGCAACTGTTGCACGCTGTTAAGCTTCACGTGTGATTATCTTTGAGTAATGTTTATTTAAACTACTATTAGGTACTACTCGCTGAATTTTTTTCAGGGTAGAAAACGGGTGGGGAAATAGGAGGTGAACCTCACACCAGTGAGGATGGCTCTGTGAGAGAAATCCACCACAAAAAAACCGTCCTGGAGCTGGCGGGGGCCTGAGGCGCCGCGAGCGCAGGGGAACACGGCGGGAGCAGCTCTGCCTCAGCAACGTC